GTGATTTCTGCTTGATTGTAGTTTCATTTAAGGGTTCTACTGCGTTCCTCAAAGCCTTCAGTTCAGTTGCTGGCTCCAAGATCATCAGGGTTTCACCCTATGGTTGCTCGTACATAAGTTGGTTATAGTAACTCCCCATGAGTTCAATATTATCATTCTTTCCACGGTTAACTATTTTTGTCTTAGAAATAGTATGAACATTATATCCTCTGATACAATGCATAGTTTGATTACTTGATTACTATTCAAGTGGAATTGATCTAGCTGATTGGCATTCATGTAGTTTACTCGTATGAAGCTACTCCTCTTCAAATGACAAAAATATGCATAGGCAGGTATTTGAAGAAAATCCCCTGTCTCGAGCTAATCCCTTTCGTTCCTCAGCAAGTGGTTTTCTTATTTTTTTAGTGGTCCTTCCTGAATGTATATGCTAATGTTATTATTTTTATCTGAAAACTTTTGGGGGTTCGAGGAGAAAATTGGAATGGCATCAATCTTTAACTTATATCATATCAATGCATAATTTTTTGCAGTTAATTTTTGGTTGTTTCAACTTTCAGCCTAAACAGACTTGCATCTACTTACATGGGTGTCTTTTGCATGATGTTAATTCCAAGAATGAGAAATTTTCCAAATCTCTATTGGGTTTGAAAATCTTTTTTTCTATTGATTCCTACGGTGTGAGCTGTGCATAGAGATCTTTAAGCTTGCATGCAACTTTTTCTTACCGGGTTGTGATATTTGCTTATTTTTCTGGTCAACTTAGATAGCTACATTCAGTGGAACTGATGTGGATATAGAGAACAATGAATGTAATTTATGTTGTTATGAACATATCCTCTACGTAGTACTTATATGATTCAATTAAGAAATTATTAGATTAGAGAATAGAGAAGCTAAAGCTTAAGGCAGGTGATGAAGTTCTTTGGGTAAAATACCTCCGGTACCACTTAAGTTTGAGAATTGGGGTAGACATACCACTTAAGTCTGAATAGGGCATCGAGTACCATTAAAGTCGCCAAAATGTGCATCCGTCTACTTTTCTATCCAACCCAAACTTTTAATTACTTTTTGACATCCACAACTTTTAAAAACATCTAAAACTACATTTTGACAAGCTTTATCTAATATAATAATTAGAAAACCTTCTAAACATATTTTTTATGACACTAAAATGACTAATGAAAACCTTCTAACCATATTATTACTAAAATGACTAATCAAAATTTTTCAATAAAATAGATAAGTTAGTAAAAATAGTAAACATATATCAAGAAGAATAATAAATATACTAGAATATAATAATAAATATTTAAAATCAATATAAAAATATCTATTTAAACCTCCTAATTCAATTAGAAGCACCATTAAAAATAGTTAAAATCGAATCTAATCAATCATCAATAAATCAAAATTAAAGAAGGATAATGGAACACAATCATAAAGAATTAACCATATTCCACTAATTGAAAAAATTTAGAATGAAAAGAGATGGAAAGTAACCAAACAATATATAAAATAGAAAAGCTACAACATTCGGTAAAAAATATAGAAAAGAAAATGACTATAAAAGCTACAACATTGTTTATTTACAACATTCATGGAATAATTCAATTATTAGAACACATAATGATAATTGAAAATAATTATAATGATAATTGATTCTAAAATTTCTATTCTAAAATTGGCTTGGTATCAAGTATTCAAAAGAGAATTCTAACTAAACAATAAAAAATGATATTTTTAATAAGTCTAAATGATTTGTTTATAATAAAAAAGTAGAAGAACCAATTATGAAATTTAGAAAATTGAATGTTCCAAAAATATTCTGTCAACTTTAACAGAATGCACTTAGCAATAAACTTAAGTGGTATCGAATGCACATATAATAGAGTTTAGTGGTACCAGACGCCCTATTCAAACTTAAGTGGTATGTCTACCCCAATTCTCAAATTTAAGTTGCACACGATGTATTTTACCTGAAGTTTTTTATTTAATGTTATAATGATTAGAGTCCATTCTCTTTTTGACAATACAATTCTTTATTAATTATGACTAGGTTTATTTGAATGAAGACAAAGCCATGCAAATTTTTTATCATTCTCACCACAGGATGCTATCCAGAGTGTTAGTTTCTCTTCCCAATTGATGACCACCCTTGAATCCCCACCTAGATAATCACTGCACGGAAGTACTGACAACATTGATTTTGATCTTGTTATTGCCAAAGATTGTATGCGTTTGGCACATCTTCCAATCACTCCAAAAGAAAATAAGATGTCATAGCACCATCGCTCCATAATGTTTCTCAGTTATATTGTCATTCCTTTTTTTTCCCCTTGCGAATGCTCACTATGGTAGGAAGATAAACAAACCAGAAGAACATAGATAGCATGTTTTCTTCTTTTTAAGTGTGTTTCATGCCTATATATTTTGCAAACAGGCTACATTTGGATTCTCACCAACATTTCAGTCTTTGTCTCAATTTGGATAATTAAATTTTTATTTCTTTTGACTTCTAAAGTTTAATCTTTCTTCTAATTACTTTTGCCACGATAAGGGGTTTGCCTACTCCTGCTAATCTCTTATCCCATTCGAATTGAAGTGTTGTCATCGACTGTTTGGTAAATACAATGAAGACTTGCTAAATGTTCATTTTAATTAACTCAAAGTAGGTCTTATTTCTGCAATCTTCTTTACTATCCTACACACCTAAACAAATCCACGTCACTTATTCCCTATTTTGTCACCAACTAATGACATTTGACATGTGACTAACGAGATGCCCACCCCCCCACCCCCCACAATATACATGAGCCAAGAGCATTATTACGTTCATACCAATAATCCAATATTTGGCTCTGCTACCTCCAACCAATGGGTCAGGTTATAAGCTAGTTTACTATCATGCAGGAGTTATTTGATGTGTTCATTTATTTGTAATATGTTATGGTAGTTGTACTTCTTAAAATATTTGGTTGATGTAGTAGTATTTTGTTTATTTGTTTAAAACAATATTGCTATTGAAAACAGAAATCAGTTTGTAATAACTATATCTAAACAAGTTTTCATTTCCAGGTTTCAGTTTCAGAACTCTCTAAATTTTCAGCTAAACAAGTTTTCTTCTGATTTTGTTTCCCAGAAAATGATAGATTCCTTTTCTTCACATTCCTCTTCTGTTGTCCAGAAATAAAAAAAACATAATGAATGGTAAACGGGGCATTAGTGATACAATCATGATTTCACTAATATAATATTAATATAGTAATAATATTAAATAACATAACTATAAAAATATATTTAACTAACATCGTACAATTTAATATAAGCGGATATCAGTGACATTATTTAATTAATAATATAAAATTATTTGACACAAATCTTTTACAATATTTATCCATCCTACTTTGAAATAAATAATTTAAAATTTTTTAAGCAACCTATATAATAAAATATAATTTATTATACTCCGACCAATTGAGATAATTCTTAAAACATATTTTACCCTACACCCGATCTTAAACCCATTAGAGTATCCACGTCAATGCAATTGTAAAAGCAATTGCATTTGTGCTCTTTATTGCCAACTCAATTTTTTTGCAATCAACCTCAAATCACTTTCATTACTTACATCAATGTAATTAACTTGCAATTGCATATGTAATCAAATATTATGTTTAAAATATAGAAAATAAGTAAAAAGAGAACAGAAAATAATATAAAATAAAAAAATTCTCATATGCAATTGCATTTGTTGCAATCTTGCAAATATACAATTGGTAGTCCCATCAATGCAATTGGTTTTGCAATTGCAAACACTCATCTCATGTGATCTTGCAATTGAGAATGCAATACCAATGTAGATGCTCTTTACACAACATTTTTGTTTTGTTTTGACTGGGTTGGACTGGGTTGGCTGCGTGTTATCCCTATTTGATGTTAAAAGCATCCACATCAATGCAATTGCAATTGTTTTTTTTATTGCCAACTCAATTTGTTTGCAATCCACCTCAAATCAGTTTCATTCACCTACATCAATTCAATTAACTTGCAATTGCATATATAATTAAATATCATGTTTAAATTATAGAAAATAAAGTGAAAGAGAAAATAAAAAAATAAAAAAATATATTTTTAGGTCTTTTTTATTTGCATATGCAATTGCATTTGTTGCAAACTTATAAATATGCAATTAATAGTCACATCAATGCAATTACAAACACCCATAAGAGCATCTCCATTGGTGCAATTGCATTTGCAATTGCATTTGTGATTTTTTTGACACAACACAATTTTTGCAAGCCAACTCACTTTACTTTCATTGTACCTACATTGGTGCAATTAACTTGCAATTGCAAATGAGGCCTAAATTTTTTTAATGCATTAAAAAAAAAATTTAAATACCTTTTTATCCACATTGCAAGTAAATAAAATAATAATTTTGATATTTGTAGATATGAAATTAAAGTAATAAAAATTTAATTTTACATTTATATTATTATTTATATTTTATTATAATTAATAAAATTAGTATATGATGCTATTTACTCCCATTGATACAAAAATTAAAATAATACTAATTTAACACATGGTCCATGGAAATTATACAAAAAAATTCCAATAAGAATTAAATCTATGGCACATGCAGCCAAAAGTGGGCATTGAAATCAAAACAAGAAAAAAAAATTATAGCACAAATTACACCGTGGCTTGCAATCCCACTTTCACTAGATGAAAGTTTCCATTTTTGCAATTGCCACTCATATGGGTGCAATGGGCAAATGAAATTGCAAACTTGGGCCACGTAGGAATGAAAGTGGGGAGAGTCAAACCGATGGAGATGCTCTAACATGTTATCTTGCAATTGAGAATGCAATACCAACGTGAATGCTTTACATCGTCGAGACTCGGGTTGTGCAAAGCGAAAATAGTAATACTAAGTCAAAAAACAGAAAACCTTAACCCCCACGACTCCTCCCCCACTAGTTCCACCCACTTCTCCCGCTACATCCTCTTCCTCCCTCTGGCTCTATATGTACCCACACCATGTAAACATTTAACATTGCAGTTATCATCATCACTTGCCAAAACCCACGCTTTCTCCCTCTCGAAGCATCACTGTGCCATTCTTCTTCCTTGCACTCTGCTTGCTGATCATTCATTCTACACAATGGAAACGTCCAAGTCGCTGGTGCTACTCACTCTCCTCTTCTGTTGTGTCATCACGGCCAGCTCCGCCGAGCTGTTCGTCGGCGGGAAGGAAGGGTGGACGGTTCCCAAGTCCAAAGACGAGCAGCAGCACTTCTTCAACGACTGGGCCGCCACCAACCGCTTTCGCGTCAACGACACCCTCCGTAACTCTTCCTCCCTACCTCCAACTCTCTTGTTACTCTTGTTTTTTCTTGGTACTCTTCCATTTTGCTAAACTCTCTGTTTCCTGCTTTGGGGAGAAAAAAGGGTTCAAGTACAAGAAAGACTCGGTGATGGTGGTGAAAGAAGAGGAAGAGTACAACAAGTGCAGGTCATCTCACCCGCTCTTCTTCTCCAACAATGGTGACACTTCCTTCCGCCTGGACCGCCCCGGTCTGTTCTACTTCATCAGTGGCGTCACCGGACACTGCCACCATGGCCTCAAGATGATCATCAAAGTCCTCGACGTCCAAGACGACAACTCGCCTCCTCTTCCACCTTCCCTGACCGTTGACGATCATCCCAACCACAAATCATCCGCCACTTCACACTACTCTGCCTCCGTCGCTGCTGCTGCTGCTCTGCCTCTGATGGCTCTGCCACTCTTCTTTTAGCAAGGATAGATAGGAAAGATTTGACATTGTAGTTTTAGTTTTCTTCTTCATGTTTTAGTTTTAAGATTGTAGCAAGGAGAAACAATGGCATTCGTAATTCGACTAGTTACTTTCATTATTACAGTTACTCTTGTCTTCTTCGTCGTGTCATATATTCATCGTCAATAGACCGAAAAAAATTTAAATTAATGGACGCTGAAACAATGTCGTTTAACAGTTATCAGGATTCGGCAGCTTCATGAGTTGCATAGAACTTCTGCTGCGGAGGGAAAAGAGTATCTCAAACTGGAAGGAAAGATGGAAATTTGGCAAACTTCTTTAAATATCAAAATCTGCTGCAAAACTTTGGAGGGGAAGCTTCTTGGCCTCTCCCAGCACCTAGTATCTTATGAACTTCTGCTTATCATGGCTTGATCGTCCATAAGGATTTCTGTAGCTGAAGCTACCTTTCTTCTTCTTGTTGCTGACTTGCTGTTGGTCTTTCTAAACTTGGAGGCACTGCTGTCGATGTTCAGGTTACCTTTGGTGGCCCAGAGAAGCCAAATGACTTTGCAACCGCCTGCTCGGAAGAAGAAGAAATCGAGACGTAAGGACACAAATTATTATCACTCTGAAGCATATCACTTTTATCATGTTTCCATACAGCTCATTATGTGAATAGATAGATACCTGTAGGTCGAGGCAGTGGACATTGAAGACATCTTTCATGGAGTGTGAGTTGTATGCCAAGATGTAAGATCGGTAAGCTTCCTTTGCCGACATGTTCAAGAAATGGTTCCCAGCCACCCATTTCTCCTGCAACAACCCACAAGCAGAGTCAGTAGGAACTCTTTCCCATAAGTTTGCATCTTTTCATCAAATTTAGCCAACGATGGTAAAATGGGTGAAAGTGACTTACCAGGCAAGTCTGAACTTTTTCTAGCTTCTTTTTTTTATTGAATGTGTACTCATTCAAGGGGACTTTTGCTGCCTGAAAGGGAACAGTTATGAGGGCATATAGCAAGAGCAAGTAAAATATGCAGTAAAAGATCCAACAGAAGGCAATCATACCTTCAGATACTCCAGAAATCGAAATTCTTCCGTAGTCAGGAACATTAAGGCATTTCCTTTTGCACCTTCTCCATGTGATGTTCGCAATGTTCAAGAAGACGCTAGGCGCTATCTAGGCGAAGAGGCACCGCCCAGCGCCCAGGCCGATTAGTCGTTGCCTAGGCGAGATTAAACGTTGAAAAAAAATATGAGAGATAAGCCATATTCTACAAAAACCCAAGTCACCATATCATTATTCATCCATTCATATACACATACAACCCTTTTCCACAATCCCAAACATCCCAAGTCGCCAACTATGAGGAGGGATCTCGCTGTTGGTCGATGAGGGGGAGCGGTTTGGTCGAATGGAAATGGGAAATAGAATAGGGTTTGGGATTTTCACAAAAACGCTACACTTTCCCACTTTATTAGTTGTTTTGGGCGTCGCCCACCAGAGTGAAAACGCGTCTCCGAGTGCCTAGGTGCCTAGATCAATCGCCTAGGGCTAGATGGAGCGATTTCCTCCTGCCCAGCTATTAATCGCGCCTAGGCGAGAGATTAATCGCGTCTTCTTGAACACTGGCTGTTCGGCCAACCCTATGTATGTATTCCTAAAAACCAGAAATTCACTCTAAATGTCAATGTCTGTAAACGTAGATCAGCAACACAATTACTCGATTTGAAGTGTAGAATGCAAGGAGGATAAATAGGCACCTTGGGCTCATCAGGTGGGTCATACTGCACAATCCAATCCTGCACAGAAAATAGAAAGAGGAAAATCAATTAGGTGAGTTAGCCAAAAGGAAAAAGTATCAGCTGTATCTTAAAAACAAGGAAAAGGCGCATACCACAGCAGGTATATCAAGTCCACGAGCAGCAACATCAGTGCATAGCAAGATCCCTTTCTCAGCTTTGCAGAAACTAAAGAAGGTCGAGGTTCGCTTCTCTTGCTTTTGTTTTCCATGGATATCGAAGCATTTTGTTTTACAGCGCGCCAAAAGTTCCGAGTGAAACGTCACAGAATTGCATGACGAGAAGAAAACCATCACTTTCTTTGATGATAAGGTACTCCGCAAGAAGGAGTAAAGAACAAGAAATCTCTCGGAACTTTGAACTAAAGTGTAGCCTTGCCGAAGACCTTCATTTGTAACCTACAATTGTCGGCGATTTGATGAGGACAGAGTTGTGCTATATATATTCTGCTTGTTCAAGGAATCAAACCATGGATCATACCTTGTGTCTCCCATCATCGACATCAATATAAACAGGAGTCATCTGAAACGACAACCGAGCAAGGTCCTCCACCTGTAAGCCAAACAAGCACAAGTAGCGACAACTGAATGCTTGATCTTGCCCAAAGAATCCATGCTAAAGGAAGGAAAAGTACTGGCATAGAAATGTGCAAAAGGGAGTAAAAACCATTAAGCAGCTGCAAACAGACCTTTTTAGTTTGGGTGGCTGAAAATAAGGCAGTCTTCCTGGTCTGCAGATCACAGAGCAATTTGTCTGAGAACTAAAATATAGCACTGCGATGTGCAAAATGAACAAAAGGGAGAACCCAAGCATATGTATGGTTCAGTTTATTATAAAATAAGGAATCTGGACAATCTGATTTTGATAGTTCCAGTCAGCACATCACAAATCAATTGAAGACTGGTAATAGCATTCAAGAAACAGCAGATGCACGACATTAGTTCAATCCCTGGTATTTTATTTAATCAATTGCCTTTGACACCTTCACCTAAAAAATGTTCATTTTCAACAGCTATAAAATTAATTAATTGTACACTTATGATATAATGATTGCAGAAGCTTGGTATACCTTTGGTAAAAGCTTGATAATTTGTTTCATATCTTCCTCAAAGTTGGCCTCCAATATCCTGTCTGCCTCATCAATCGTCAGGCACTACAGAATTCCCCTCAAGGGTCAGCAAAAAACTTCCCATCCCCAATTCTCTGCTTTTAAAATTTCCCTCAAGGACAAGCAGCACAAGGATAGCACAAACACATGCTTAAATGGATAGGACACACTAGTACAGCTATGAAACCCCTAATGCTTCCAGAAGATGATTTGAACCACAGTCCACAATAATATAAAAAAAATGAAATAATGCAACAAGTTACCTTCAAGTTCTTATAAATAAATCCTTTGGTATGTTGAAGATGATCAAGAAGTCGACCAGGAGTTGCAACCAACAAGTTTTACCCCTTTGACAATTCGCTCCGCTTCTTCTTTCCTTGCTGCCCCACCAATAACCATCCCAAGTGTCTGTGAATGATACTTGAGAAGGTCTTCTGCCACTTTATGTGTCTGAACAATGTTGGGTAATAATGAATATAGATCAGGCAAAGGACTAAAATGTCTAGGAAGACAGGGAGTTTTCGGGTCATTAAGTTGCAAAAAATACCATTAGCAAATACATACAAGGGTAACTGGGTAGATAAAGAAGCAAACTACAGTTACCTGTCCGAATTAACCTTAATAATTATACCATTCCATCATTCAGTTCAAGAAGAAACAAGATCTTGATAGGTATAATGAGAGAGAAATTATGATATGCAGCAAACATCTACACTATCAGGAGGATCATTTACCTGAATGGCAAGTTCTATAGTAGGGCAAATAACCACCACCCCAGTACCATTGCGGGGAGCGAAACGAGCATTGTACAGCAACTCCACAGCCGGTATCAGAAAGGCAAGGGTTTTCCCAGAACCTGTCCTTGCCGCACCTAAGACATCCTTGCCCATCAGCAGGAGTGGCATTGCCCTTGATTGAATCTGTTACGTTGCAATAGATTCCAAATTGTCAGAAACATGTCTCAATACAGTCAATAGCAAAACATGTTAAGATCATTCCCCACGTGTCGCGCTATTCTTGTTAACTAAACTCAGCATGCAAATTCTCCAGTAAGTTACATAAATTGGAGCAGTGCTGCCATTCTCCGCCAACTTAAAACTATTCGAGAATATAATGGCTGAGCTTCAACCAATGTAATACCACACTATGCAACACCAAAGAAGCTTATACAAAATGGATTTGACTCTTGCTAAACGAATATGCAAAACACACGGCAATTTTTCTAGTGGTTACTGAAAAGAGCACAAAAAATTCGAATTAGAAGAGTATGCACCTGGGTCAAATACTGGAAAGTGGAATCCCATCTCTCGAATCGCCTTCCTCGTAGGCTCGGATAATTCCAGAGAATCAAACGAGTCAGTGCTCATAATTCCGCCGCCACTCCTCACTTTCTTCTTCTTTGTGTTACCCTCTGCCTCGCCATCTTCCCCCTTGCTATGTTCCTCCTTTCGTCCGTCACTCTCATCTTCATTCACATCTGCGATCTGCTGCTTCTTCTTCTTCTTGTCCTTCACAACTTCCTTCTCTTCGTCATCTTCACTCTCCTCTTCGTTCTGCTTCACCTCTGGAGCTTCATCAGACTCTGCCGGAGCTTTCTTTACTCTGCTGCGCTTTCGTTTCTTTCTCTTCCGCAGCTCCTCTTCCGGCGACTCGTGCGGCTGCTTGCTCACTGGTGGCACGGCCATGGCGCCAACTGTGAACGAAGTTTATGGAAAAGAAATATTGTAAAGAAGGGGGTTTTCCGCTTCTCTTTGCAATTCCGCCTTTTAGTCTTTATAGCTTAAACTCTGATCCAGCGAGATAGGAATCAATCCATGACAGAGCGCGGGGATAATCTCATTCTCTTCGAGCTTCTGGTTGTTATATTTGTGGTTACATCTTTCCTTCCACAAGAACCACATTATAGAGGTAAATTTCTGGATTTTTGAGGAATCAAAAATCTTCCAAATCTCCTTCATCCATTCAAGACACGATCTGTTGTTGCCCATCTCATACATATCTCTGACTTTGCTTGCTTGCCATTGTCTCCGAATCCAATCACATTCCTTGAGGGCGTGCATTTGGGTCTCCCTAAGGTTACAGAACGGGCACTCAACGCCGGCTTCTTCAAACCATTCTTCCACATTCACCCCAACTGGTAAGATGTTCTTACACACTTTCCATAGAAACATCCTCACCTTAGGTTGCCTATTGAGGTTCCAAAGGTTCTTCCAGAATTCAGAACTATCATCATCCTTACTGTGGCGTTTGACGCCCGTGTGTTGTTGTTTGTCTGGAATGCGAAAATAGGCTGACTTAACAGTGTAGATCCCCGTCTCCGAATCCTTCCATACCCGAGAGTCCTCTTTGAGAGGAAAACTGAGGGGAATGTTTTTTATCAGACCCAGATCCTGAACAGAGAAAAGATCATTGATTTTGGTATGATTCCATCCCCCACTTCCTGATCGATGAGAGTACAAACCTGATCATTAGGAAAGACAGTTGAAGGGGCAGGGTCAGGATAATAGAAAGACTTGCCAGGAATCCACTCATCCTCCCAGATCCAAATCGACTTGCATCACCCACCTTCCATCGAAAGCCATCAGCAATCATCTCCTTAGCCTCCATTAAACTTTTCCAAATATAGCTAGGGCGATAACCCACCTTTGCAGCCATGATATCTGACTTAGGATAGTAACGGGCTTTGAGAATCTTAGCCATGAGGGAGTTTAGTATCGATAGTAAGCTCCAGATCTGTTTCCCCAACATGGCCAAATTAAAAGCCTTAAGATCACGGAAACCCAATCCCCCTTATTCCTTTTCATCACATAATTCATCCCACTCAATCCACTTAATCTTCGACTCTTTTCCCTTCTGCCCCCACCAGAAGTTTGTAATCAGCCTTTGAATCTCTTTTAAAGTGCCTTCTGGTAAGAGGAAAACTGACATCGGGTAAAGGAATTGAGCTTGTGCAACAGCTTTAATCAAGATTTCTTTCCTCGCTTGTGACATAGTTCGGTTCTTCCAATCTTTGAGTTTTTTCCTCACTCTTTCCTTAATGTCTTCGAAAATAGCTTTCTTCGACCTGCTGATCACCGTAGGAAGTCCCAAGTATTTCGGATGCTTAGCCACTTCTTTTATATCAAGAGTTCCACATATTTCCAGTCTCCTGCTGCATCTGACGTTCTTGCTAAAGTGCATGGTCAATCGTCGAGACAACAGACCTGGAACCCTCCTCCTTGTGGGGTTTACAAGCTTAACACGGATGCTGCTTTGCTCCCGCAGGGTGGTATTGGTCTGGGTTGTGTGATGAGAGATCATAGAGGTGCTTTTGTTGGGGCTTCAATGAAGAAAGAAAGGGGAGTGTGTCGGGCAATTGAGGAAGAGGCTAGAGCGATGGTTTTGGGATTGGCTGAAGCAAATCGGCGAATTTTGAGTCCCCTCATTGTGGAATTCGATTGCCAATCTCTCATTAACAAGATTCAAAGAAGGGAGGCTGATGCTACAGAGCTGGGCGAATGGTGTGAGGCGATTTGGAGGCTAGCGAAGGTGAATGAATCCTTCTCTGGAAAACAGGTCACCTGGGTTTTTGCAGGAAGGAAGATGAATAAAGTGGCACATTGGTTAGCTCACTCTGGCTCTCGTTGGGACGAACAGGTGGTGTGGGTGGATAACCCACCTCTAATTCTGTTGTCGTTACTTGAGGATGATATGGGCCGAAGCCCATGTACTTTTTCCAATTGATCCATATGAATAAAGTTTCCACAGGTTCCTATAAAAAAAAACTCTGATTCGGGGTCCACCGCCTTTATAATCACTAATTGGATGGATTTGGCTACACGCTTGGGCCTTGTTTATCAGACTCATTAATCCATCCAATTCTAACTTGTTTTGGACTTTGGTGGACCTTAATGGACATCTTATTTTAGTGTTCTGTATGGTTAGAGAAAGTAGGAGTTAGCAATTAAATCTTGTTTACATGTTGTGTTGCTCATGTTTGGGGGTTGAAAAACTCATTACTATTAATGTGTTTGGCCCAATACTACGGAGCCGCTCTAAAAAATAGGCATCAGTGTCGCTTCTTCTGATTGGTCCATTAAAGCCATGACGTGGCATTGGCTGTGTTATTATCAAGCCAAACCCAAATCCAAAACCGTTGAGCATAAGCTGGCCCAAACCCACCCAAATTGACGGAAAAGCTGTCTTCCGTTTTCTTATCAACGTTTTTGTCGTTGCTTTTAAGAAAAAAGTTAACATTTATTTCCTTTTACTTTGGATTTAATTATTACTTGATTTTTTCACCATAAACAAGGGAATAGAGACACGAACCTAGAAGCACTTTGTCGTCTTCCCCCTTGTATCGGTTGAAGGTGCAAAAGGAAGAGGAACAGTATACAGACTACATAGTATCTAACAGACTTACACCATTGATGTAGAGCAATAAACCAATTTTCCTATTACAAACACTTGGAGAAGAGCACAGTTCGAATCTAACTCCGCTACTGAAGTGAATCACAACATGAATTACTAACTAATAAGGCTACAAATAGTAACATAGTACCACTACTGAAGTGAATCACAACATGAATTACCAAACAAGGCTTCTTTTGTTTAAGCTTGGATTGCTGAATGTTTTCACTAAAGTTGACCACAAAGGATAAATACCATTAGCCAAATAATAACATTGATCATAGGTATGACCGTTTACCTCAAATCGTACTCGTGGGGCGGATCCTTTGAGGATACGGTCAAACACCGGAAACATCCCTTGAATATTGATATCGTTGTTTGACCCAGACAGGCCAAAGAAAGCATGCCATATCCAGGAGTTGTATGTAGGCACTGCCACGAGAATGATTGTTGGCTTACGATTGTGCCCCAAGTACTGCCCAGTCCAAGAAGTAGGACAGTTACTCCACTCCCAGTGCATGCAATCAATTGATCCAATCATACCAAGAAATCCGCGTTGTGAGGCTTTATGAAGTAGAATCCTTAGATCAGCAGGAGTTGGTGCACAAAGGTATGCGATGAGTACATCCCAACAATGGACTTGCAAAAATTCCGCAAGACTTCCAGTATAATGCTCTGACCCATACACACATAGTCATCAAGTTGATCAGCTAGAGAGCCATAAGCTAGCATGCAGTGCACTAGTAAGCTTTTGCTCCGACGATAGGCCTAGGTGACCAACGACATCACTCCTTCGTGCAAAAGAGGGATCATACCTCACAAAGTCACCAATTATGCCATTGAATAGCCTTGGTTTCATACGAAAACGCCTTCTGAATATACGGGCATCGTATGTTGGATTTGGATTGAAGTAATCCTGCATAAGACGGTCATGACCTGAGACCCTTTCATGATCAATGTAGGTGCGACTTGTTGAACGACGATGTGAGGATGAAGCGTCCTCAAGCCTCCGCCTGATTAAAGCCAAATGGTGATAGTGAAATAGATTCAACTCTTCCATCTCTTCTTCTCCTCCAAACGATGAGTAATCTGAGGAACTCATGATGTATATGTTTGTTTTAGAAATGGGGAAAAGTTTATTGATATGTTTGTTTTAGAAATGGGATGAAGTTTCAGACAAGTATTGAATTGATGGCAAATGGGGGATTTGTATTTATGTCCGAACGGTCATATCCAAACTTGTCTTACCTAACGGTCATATCCGAACATGTGCTACCTACCAATGACATGTTGGAAATAAAATTAATTTATTTCCTTATGTATTTGGTGGGCACGTGTAATTACAAAAGAACTTGTTTTGTTTTATATGGTGGGATTTTATGGTTTTGAGAGAGCTCGTATAGAGCTTATATGGAAGAGGGATTTTATTTGAAGGAATGAGTTTGGTAGAGGCTATTTGAGAGAAGTGGGCAGAGGGATACATCTCTTTCTTATTGTTTCTTCTTTTTTATTTGGCGCTGCTTCAACTCGGCTACAACTTAGCCTATTTATAGGCTTTACATCATCAAAATATCAAGGCTAAACCGACTCAACTTGTGGCCTTTATTTTTCTTTATTTTTTATGCCACAACTAACACCTAACTCTATTTAATTAAGTAAGCTTCCACACAATTCCCCACTTACCCACGGTTCTAGCTAATTCCACCGAGTTCTGATTTTTTCCAATTTTTATCTTTTAATTAAACTTTATTAATTTCAACACTCCACCTTAAAAGTTTAATTCATCCTAACTCCGTGTAACACCCTCATTTTGACGAACACATCTTGCTTCAGCGGCTTCGTGAATATATCAGCAATCTGGTCTTCAGTCTACACATACTTTAGCATCTCTTCTTTGTGCTCAACGCATTCTCGTAAGAAATGGTATCTTGTATCAATGTGCTTACTACGATCCTGAAATACCGGATTCTTTGCTAATGCCAGGGGCAGACTTGTTATCCACAAATATTTCAGTTAACTCTTCTTGTGCCATGTTCAATTCCTTCAGCAACTTTCTTAACCATATCGCATGACCCGTACACGATGTAGCCACATACTCAACTTCACAAGTAGATACGATAGCATGCTTCTTTGAACTCCATGTGAAAGCTGTATCTCCCAGAAAAAATACGAATCATGTAATGCTCTTGCGATCATCCACGTCTCCTGCCCAATCACTATTACAGTATCGAACCAATTTGAAATTTTCTGACTTAGTATAAAGCAGACCATGATCGATTGTACCTTTAATGTAGCGCAAGATTCTCTTGGCGGCATTCCAGTGTGACATTTTTGGTGCCTCCATGTATTTGCTGACTAATCCAACTACATAGAGGATATTTGGTATGGTACAAGTCAGGTATCTCAGACTTCCCATAAGGCTTCTAAACTCCGTTGAGTTTACCTTCTCTCCTTTGTCATCCTTGGATAACTTCATTCCACACTCGGCTGGTGCACTCACAGGATTACAATTCTCCATCTTAAATTTCTTCACGACCTTCTTGGCAAAACCACTTTGTGAGATAAAAATTCCTTCCTCTTTTTGTCTCACTTCAATTCCAAGATAGTATGACATCAACCTGATGTCTATCATCTCATATTCTCGAAACATAGTCTTCTTGAACTCTTCAAACATTTGAGGATCGTTACCTGTGAAGACGAGTCATCAACGTATAGACAAACCATAAGGATTTCTCCCTCTTGCACCTTGCACTATAGTGCATGCTCATGTGGGCATTTTCTGAACCCATTCTGTTGAAAATACTTGTCAATCCTGCTATTCCAAGCTCTCGATGCTTGTTTCAGACCATACAGTGCCTTTTTCAGCTTCAACACCTTATCTTCTTGACCTTCAATGATATATCCCGGAGGTTGCTCAATATAGATATCTTCCTCGAGATATCCATTCAGAAAAGCTGACTTCACATCCATCTGATGTTTCTTCCATCCATTTTGAGCAGCGAGGATATCACCATTATGATACTCTCCATTCTTTCCACGAGAGCAAAAACTTCATTATAGTCAATGCCTGGTCTCTGACTATATCCTTTAGCTACCAATCTTGCTTTGTGCCTGACAACTTCTCCTTTTGCATTTTTCTTTGCTTTAAACACCCACTTGAGACCAATTAGCTTCTGGTTCTCAGGAAGTGACACAAGCTCCCAAGTCTTGTTCTTCTCAATATCTTGAATTTCTTCATCCATAGCTTTTCTCTATTTTTCATCCTTCATGGCTTCTTCGACATCCACTGGTTCATTATCAATGAAATGAAAGTAGAGTGTCAGTTCATCGCCTTCAATGCTTCTTGTAGCTTTGTATAAATCTTCAAGATGTCTATATTTCTGTGGCCTCTCTTTGGGACTTTCACTTGAACTTCCTTCTGGGCTGGCAAGCTCTCTCTCGATATAGGCGTATCTATATCCAATACTTCATCACTATCATCCATAGTGAATGGATAAAAAGTGTAACTCTTCTTTGCTTCAACAGTCCAGTCCCATGTTGCTTCTTCATCAACTACCACGCCTCTACTGATGATAAGCTTCTCTTCCACGGGGTCAAACAGCTTGTACCCCTTAGAATGTTCAAAGTATTCCAGGAACAAGTAGTTCTTACTTTTATCATCCAACTTCTTCCTTTCTTGATCTGGTACGTGCATATATCCGACACTTCCGAAGACTCGAAGGTGAGAGACTGTGGGTTTCCTTCCGCTCCATGCTTCTTGAGGTGTTTGATTCCAAACATTTTTTGTTGGTGACATGTTAAGCAGGTAGACTGCACAATCAACAACCTCAACCCATAGCTCCTTCGACAGATTTTTGCTTTTCAACATGCTTCTCACCATGTTGAGGACAGTTCTATTCTTGCTTTGAACAACTCCACTCTACTATGGGCATCATGGGACTGAGAGTGAGTGCTTTTTTATCACTCTTTCTATTTTTTTCTCAATACCTCCTTTTCAACAGGAGTTAATCGAGAATCCTCCACGGGAATCTCATAACCTTTCTCAACAATATCCCAAGCATCTTGGTATCCCAGCACGGCTTTCATACGGACAATTGAATGGGTTTGGTAAGGTGTTTTGTTAAGGTGGGGGAATTGAATGGGGAAAGTGGATTTTTCAACCATGGGACAATTGTGATAACAACAACACGAGAAATTCTTTCTATTGTGGAAGTTCAGACTACGTTGCAACCACAGAGCATACTCAGAAATAACTCGGGCTCTGATACCACTTTGTTGAAAATAAAATTAATTTATTTCCTTTATGTATTGGGTGGGCATGTGTAACTACAAAAGAACTTGTTTTGTTTTATATGGTGGGCTTTTATGGTTTTGACAAAGCTTGTGTAGAGCTTATATGGAAGAGGGATTTTATTTGAAGGAATGGGTTTGGCAAAGGCTATTTGAGAGAAGTGGGCAGACGGATACAACTCTTTCTTTATTGTTTCTTCTTTTTTATTTGACTCTGCTTCAACTCGGCTACAACTTAGCCTAACTATAGGCTTTACATCATCAAAATATCAAGGCTAAACCGACTCAACTTGTGGCCTTTATTTTTCTTTATTTTTTATGCCATAACTAACACTTAACTCCATTTACTTAAGTAAGCTTCCACACAATTCCAAACTTATCTACGATTCTAGCTAATTCCCCCGAGTTCTGATTTTTTTTCTTTCCGGATTTTTCTTTTAATTAAACTTTATTAATTTCAACATGACATACCTAACATATGCTACCTAACAGCCTTACCTACCAACCTTACCTAATATCCCTACCTAACGGTCATATCCGAACATGTGCTACCTACCAATGACATACCTAACATGTGCTACCTAATAGCCTTACTTAACAGTCATACCTAACGGTCATATCTCAACGGTAACATCTAAAGGTCATACCTAACGGTAATATCCGAACTGTCATAAATTTTCTATATACATTTAAACATGATCTCCCCTCTCTACAATTTATTCTTACTGAATTGAATTTTTTTGTCAATCTCATCATCCTTTCTATCATCTTTCTCTCTCTAAAAATCAAACAATGACAAGCAAGAGAGGAGAGGGTTGGAAGATAAGAACTTGTGCAATTCTTGGGTCACGATATCAGAAGAAGGAGTTGTGGGCATCAATCAAAGAAATACAAAGTTTTGGGATAGAGTGTCGGCGCAATTTCGAGTGAACGATCGAAACTCAGCTCGTACTATCAAAAGCATGGCTAACCGAATGGGCACGATCACCAAATTTTGCAAGCGTTGGAATTCAGTTATCCAAAGGGCAGAGAGGAATCAACCAAGTGGCACGAATCAACAAGATGTGGTATGAATTCTCTATCACCATCATAGTTATTTTCTAACTCGTTCATTAGTACGTGTGTTTTATTTTCTAACTCCTTTTCCATCTCATTCATTCATACGTATAGGAGTATATGGCAAAACAATTGTATTTAAGTGAGACCGGAGAAATGGGTTGGAATTTTGGTCATTGTTGGTGGATCTTGAAAACAATGTCGTCTTCACATCAAAGCCGCATGAGTCAAGGTTCTAATGGTTCTCCCATGGGTCGTGGTTATCAATGAACCCCACAAACAGACATCAATGACATAGCAGGAGACGAATAAACTCCATCCTCCATTGGAGAAACTCCACCCTTCGTTGGAGAAACTCCGCCCTTTGTTATATCTTGCCCTGCTGGACGCGACAAACCAAAGGCGACTAAGAAGAAAGGAAATGGGGTTGTTGAGTCATCAGAGAGCTACACTGCTCAATTGCTTGACTATGGAAGTGAGCTGAAGGATAGACATGCTTCAAGGGCCGAGTATGAGAGAAAAAAGGATGGAATTCCAAGAAAAAAATTGAAGCGTGACCAAGAAAAGTGGGATCTTGAGAAAAGGGAGAGGGAACAAAAGTGGGAACTTGAGGAAAGAGATAGGGAAGCAGCACTATTTCGGAACAACCTTGATCTTCTTGAAAAGTACTTGTCGAAGTCGACACCAAGAAGATGAAGTGTTTACAAAATAAGCAAAACATGCCTCTAGGGTATGATCAAGATGATCCAACTCTGTTCCCAACTATTCATCCAACGCAAGTTAGAGTGGAGGGGGAGATGAGAGTGGAGGAGGAGATTACGGGAATTACTATTCTCTGTTGGGCGATTATTGACATGTTATGTGTTTCATCTTTATTATTTCAAGTGTTGTGTGTAATCTTTAAATTTTATCATTTTCAAGTGTTGTGTGTAAACTTTAAGCTTTATTATTATCAATTATTGTGTGTAACCTCTGAGTTATATCATTTGAACTATTATGTGAACTTCTTCAGCTTTATCATTTTCAAGTGTTTTGTGAAAACCCAAATTAGGCCAATCATTTTTTGACAAAAAAAAAATAGTCTCGGAATTTGAAAAAATTATATCGGAAAATTTGTATTTAAAAATGGCGACGAACTATACAAAAATTAAGATGAACAAATGATATTAAGATGATCACAAGTACATTTTTAAGTAAAGAAGAACTAGAAAAAATGAATATCCCCAAATTTGGAGATGGTAGCATTGGAGCAAAAATGAAGAAAATGGGGACAATCTCCAAATTTGGGGACTTGCATTAAAGTTGGCTTTAGTGTAGATAAAGCAACACAAGTGGTCGAGAAGTTGGGTTTTGATAAATTCTTGATTGTCGACGCAGTCGGTTTTCTGGAGGCACATGGTTGACATGGGACTCATCGTTAGTCACCATCACCGAGGTGGATAGATTGGCATAGATGCTCCATGTACATGTCACCATAGGGAATGAAAGTTGTTATCTTTAGGCAGTGTATGCTAACCCGATGTTGGTTCAACTACGGGAGCTTTGGCAGTCTATCACAAAGCTGGCTGAGAGTATAGTGGATTCGTGACTACTTGTGGGAGATTTCAACTCCATCTCACAACCTTCAGATAAGTCAGGTGGTTCCCCTTTTGATGCGAGCCGCACGATGGAGTTTCAAGATTGTGTATTGAATGCTGCCCTTTTGGATCTTGGTTTCGCTAGTCCACAATTCACGTGGTTCAAGCGAGGTGTTAAAGAAAGGCATGATCGAGGATTGGTAAATTCAGCTTGATCTGAGAAATTCTCAGAGGCGATGTTGAGGCATTTACTTAGGGTGAAAACTGGCCATAGACCTATTTTGGCTTCTTTGAACCCGAGTTTTCAACCTGCTGGCCCAAAACCATTTAACTTTCTGGCGGCATGGCTAACTCACGAGGGTTTTAACAATATTGCTACTCAAGCTTGGGCGAAAGGAAAGGATCTCGCCTACTCCATTATGGAGTTTGTTTTTGAATCCAAGAAGTGGAATGCCGATACCTTTGGGAATTAGAGGAGGTCCTGTTGCAGAAGGAACTATTGTGGTACCAAAAGTCTAAACTAGAGTGGGTGGCCTCGAGGGATCGCAACACGAAGTATTATTATTTTAGAACTATTAACAGAAGATGAAGGAATAGAGTCTCAACTCTAAAAAAATGAGGCGGGGGAATGGATTGATGACCAAGACCTCCTTCTTGATCTAGCTCGACGTTTCTTCTCGGGTTTATATACTGACGATGGAGCCCCTGTTTAGACCCTCATGCAAGCTTTTCAGGAGGTGCCGACACCTCTTTGGGAAGCCCTAGATAAGGAGTTTACACCGGAAGAGATCCACCTGGATGTCAAAGCAATGGGAGCTCTGAAGAAACCAGGGAAGGACGGTCTAAATTCGCTCTTTTATCAACATTGTTGGGAATTCGTGGGTCTAGAGGTGGTGGATTTTGTGAAATCATGGTAGCACACGCCGACACGGGTCCAAGAAGTAAATAAAACAATTGTTGCCTTAATTCTGAAGATCCAGAGTCTGTCGTTGATCGAGCAGTTCAGACCAATCAGTCTCTGCAATGTAGCCTACAAAATGATAACAAAGTGTTTGCCCGAGAGGATCAAACCACTGATGTCGAGACTGGTACATGAGACATAGACGAGGTTCGTCCCTGGTAGACATATTACATATAATATATGTATTTGGCATGAAGTTGTCCACTCTATGCAGGCCAAGGGGGCAAGGCTGGACGGATGGTTCTGAAAATTTATTTGACAAAAGCGTATGACAGGATCAAATGGAGTTTGGTGCGGGATAAACTAGAAGTTGTGGCTGCCCCAAGCAACTTCACGGAACTAACTATGAGCTGCATATCATCCGCCACAATGCAGATCTAGTGGAATGGTGGACTCGCAGACTCTTTCTCTCCTTCAAGGGGTCTTCGACAGTGTTGCCCGCTCTCTCCCTATGTTTTTACGCTTTGCATGGAGAGACTGGGGGGTACTTGATTGATGTTGCAGTTGACACGGGGGAGTGGCAGCCAATACAGTTCTCCAAGAAGGGGTGTGGCTTCTATGCAACAGGTACATGTGATTTTTAAATGCTAGGAGGAGTTTGGGACGGCTTTTGGATAAGAAGTTAGCAGGCCAAAATTGAGAATCTTATTTTCTCATGTCACAAGAGTAGTGGGCGCCAGCCTGAGCGCCACCCTCAATATACCGGAGAAAAAATTTGCGTCGATACTTAGGTGTTCCAGTGATACATGGAAGAGTGTCGAAGGCAACGTACACGGATCTTATTGATCAGATTGATTTTAGACTTGCACGGTGGAAGGTGACCTCATTATCTTTGGCAGGAAGAATTATGCTGGCTCAATCTGTCCTGGCCTTGCTTCCAGCTTATACGATGTAGAATGCCCTCCTTCCGGCCTCAGTAAGGGAGTACATTGACAAGAAGATCAGGGGCTTTATATGGGAAAGTTCAAAGCAGGGAAGGAAAGTCCATCTAGTAGATTGGGACACGTTGTGTCGACCAAAGGCATAAGGAGGCTTGAGATTGGGAAGCACGACGAAAATGAATGATGCTTTCATGATAAAAATTTCTTGGAGACTGTTTTTCGAACATGATAGCCTTCAGGCGCAAGTTATCTGAGGGAAGTATCTTAGAGACGTGGATGGTGTTTGGCAGCCTAGAAGGAATGGTCGATTGTCGAATTTTTTGAGGGGGGTCATGTGGGTTTTGCACTATATCCCGGAAGGCACTATGTGGAACATCATAGCGGAATGCAGACCCTTTTCTGGAGTGATAGGTGGCTCCAGGTTGGGCCGCCACTTGAGCATTTTTTCGTTAATCTCCCCGACGAAGCGAAGGGATTGTGTGTGGCAGAGGTGATACTAAATGGGAAGTGGAATCTGCAGTATGTTTGGGCGTTCCTCCTGGAGGCCTTAGTTCTCCAACTGCAGCTCCACCCGGTGCCAGAAGAACTAGAGTCAGATATCCCGTATTAGAGATTCTCTAACTCTGCCAAGTTCACTTTACAAACTACGTATGACTTGCTTCAGGAGGAGGCGGAAGACAGCAAACAACATTCAGTTTGGAGAGCTACTTGGGAGGAACCAGGGACCGTAATGCACGAGATCCTTCTTCTGGTTAGTTTTGCACAGAAAGCTCCTCACAAATGCGGAGCACCGCCGAAGACACTTGGTGATTCAGGCCTATTTGTACACTTTTTATCCACGTTACTCTTTGATGTTTGTTACAATTGAGATGCAAAAATGGTTGGTTTTACGCTAGGTTTCTTGTGTTTTAGTGTGTTTCAAATTCTAACAGGTGAAACCAACCCTGGAGTCGAAATTTGGAAGAAAATGAGGAAAGACCTGGCAAAGAGGAGAAAACAGCTTGTGTTCATGGTATGCAATTGGAGTTCACGGTCTCCAGGACTGTGAACTAGAACCCCAACCCGTGAACCAAGAAGAATCCAGAGGGGTTTCTGAGGTTACTGACGTCAAGGTTGTTCACGGTCTCTAAGACCGTGAACTGCAACCACAAACCGTGAACCGAAGAAGTGAAGTGGTGCATTTTGGTTCAACACACTGTGTTCACTGACGCGTTTTGATGTTCATGGTCGTGAAATTGTGTCGTGAACTGGACGCGATCTCGGTATAAAAGGTCAGCTGAAAGGAAGAAGAGGGGGAGACCTGGTGTGAGAAACTTCTTCTTCTTCAGATGTTTAGTGTGAGAAAGTGACGAACCAAAGAAGAGGAGAAACTAGGGTTTCATCTCTAATCCAGCGCCTTTAACACCACTGGACGAGGACATGAACCAAACTCTCTGACTTTTAGCTCGAGAGAGGGAGCAAGCGGAGGCAAGAAGGAGAATTGAATAGAGGGGACAACAAGTTGGTCTCGGATTTGAAGGAATTGAAGGAGAAGTTGAAGTTGAGATGGCGTGGAATTAGACCTGGCAAATGAGAACCCGACTCGTTGACCCGACCCTAATCCGCCTGAAAAATAGAGAATTGGTTGAGGTTTTTTTAACCCGAAACCTGAATGACCCAAATCCGATTAACCCGTAGTTTTTGGGTCGGATTGGGTTTATTTGTGGGTCGACCCGCTAGACCCATTTCATTCCATATGTCGCTCTCAAAATGATAAAATCACTCATACTTTGGTGAGATGTTTAAAAAATTTATTAGGATTTGAAAGACAAGTTTGGAGTGTAAAGATTATCAAACATCATTTGTTTAATGTAGGAGTATTACTTTCGTCATTGTTTTTTAACAATTTGTATTTCTTTTCATTAGCATGGAAGGAGTTGAGCATTTGTTAATTGATATGTGCTAGGCAAACTATTGTCGCACATATGTAAAAATTTGTGTTCTTTAAAAATTTATGAAGTATGCTTGATATTGTTTTTGAGAACGCTCATGACCCGAAATGACCCAAAACCCGACTAAAAACCCGATGGATTGGGTCAATATTTGACCCGAAATCAGCAAACCCATCATGACCCGACCCGTGAAGACCCGTAACCCGAGATTCCCAACCCAAAATTACCCAACCCGACCCGATTGCCAGGTCTACGGGGAATCAACATTGAGGGGATAATTCGCTTCAAAACCCAAATGTGGAAGCGGGAGCCAAGGAAGAGCCAAGAACTATGGGCTATTACATGGCTCCATGGGTGGCGGATATCCAATCTCCCATCTTACATCCACCTGTGGCCACCAACAACTTTGAAATCAAGCTCATTGTTGTGACGATGATTCAAAACAACTCCTACTTTCATTGGCTTGCCAATGAATCACCACGAGAGCATGTCCGAAGGTTTCTTGAGCTAGCGGGAAGCTTGAAGATAAATGGCATCCCCGAGGAGGCATTGCGATTGAGGTTCTTCCCCTATTATTTGGCGGGGAAGGCACTCCGTTGGGTCAACAACCGTTTGGCTTTGTCCATCACCTCTTGGGACGATTTACTCAACAAGTTCATGACCCGATATTGTCCTCCTTCCAAGACACCCGAGTGGAGGAAGAAGATCAATCACTTTGAGCAAGAGGAGGATGAGACATTAAGGAATGCATGGGAAAGATTCTCCGACTACTTCCTCCAATGCCCTCACCATGGATTCGAGGAGCAATTTCGGATAGAGACTTTCTATGGAGGTCTCATTCAAGATGACAAGATCCTCATCGACTCTCTTTACCAAGGGAAGTTGATGAACATGACCCCACCTGAAGTGACTGAGTTGCTCAAAGATATGTCTCTCAAAGGATATGATTGGGTCTTGACAAGAAGTGGGAAGATAAGCACCGAAAGAGGAGTGCAAATTGTAGGAGCAAGTGCTCCACTTGAAGCGAAGCTTGACAAGTTGATCTAGGGGAACCTTGAGGACAAGAAGCAAGGGAAGAGAGCAGTGATGTCTTGTGATTGGTGTTCGAGCACAAATCATGAAATTGCAGATTGACAAGCGATGAAGGAGACAAGTACCCCTGAGGAGCAAGTGAGTTTTATTGCCAATGCTAGAGGGAACAATCCTTATAGCACACATACAACCCCGTGTGGCGCAATCATCCAAACTACACTTTGTCTTCTCCTTCCAATCTAAGACCTCCCTGTTCCAAAAATCCAATGGGAAACTATCAAACTCGGCCAACTTACATCCAACAAAGGCCTCAATTCCAAAACTCAAACTTCCAACAACCATACCAAGCACAAGGTGGTTAAGGGTTCCAACAACAACAACAAGTCGACAAGTTCTCTAAACTAGAAGACCTTGCAACCACCTTTGTGAGTGCAAGCTCTCAGAAGTTCAAGAAGATTGAGCAATTCATGGATGTGGCAACCTCCAAGTTTACCTCGGTTAAGAAGGGACTCCGAAGCCATCAAGCAAGTCTCCGAAACTTGGAAGTGCAAATCGACAATCTTGCCGGGATCCTCACCGAGAGACCAAAGGGAGCCCTACACTCTCAAACCATTACCAACCCTAAGGATCATGCCAGGTGAATGCACTTCATTTTAGGAGTGGGAAGGTGACTCCGGAGGTCGTTGCCAAAGAAGTGAATGAGAAGGAAGACCCTCTACCCGAGGGTGAAGAAGAGGAAACCTCTGGAGAAAAGAGAGGAGTGGTGATGAAGGCATCGCTAACGCCACCACCTGTGGCTGAGTACACGCCACCCCTACCTTTTCCCACGAGGGTGCACAAGGAAAAATTGGAAGCGTAATGTGGAGGTTTCATGGAGATGCTCCAAAAGCTCCACCTCAACATTACCTTCTTGAAGCAATGGCCCACATGCCAAGGTATTCAAAATACCTCAAGGGGTTTCTCTCCAAGAAGCCGAAGTTCGAAGACCTCGCCAATGTCACCCTAGTCAAGGAGTGCTCAGCCTTTATCCTCAACAGGTTGCCCAAGAAGCCACCCGATCCAGGTAGTTTCGCCTTATCTTTTTGCATCGGTTCTCTTCACATAGAAAATTCCTTGGCGGACTTAGGGGCGAGCATAAAAATGATTCCATTTAAGCTTTGTAAGAGTCTAGACATAGGTGAACTAAAGACTACGAGGCTTAGTGTGACATTGGTCGATCACTCTGTCATTAATCCTAGGGGCATAGTACAGGACGTGCTAGTACGAGTTGGAAAATTTTGTTATTCGATGGATTTTGTGATCCTGGATATAAGTGAGGATTCTGAGATGCCACTCATACTAGGACGCCCTTTCCTTGCCACCGCCAAGGAATTAACTGATGTAAATGAGGGAACTTTGATTCTGAGAGATGGTGAAGAGAGTATTACTCTTGGAATTAAACCTAAGCCTAAGAGTGAGAATGTGAAGGAAGTGGAACCGGGTAATGTGAATGCAAGTGGAAGAGAACCTTGCAAGGTGAACCCATGCCAGGTTCAAGTGGTCGAGTGGTCGAGTGGTATCCCCATGCCAGGTTTTTGTGATTTTGTGTTTTGAGTTGTGTCGTGAATGATAGTAGGCACGGTGGAGTAGGTCGAGTAAATTTTTTTTGGAAGTACTTTGTTTTCACTGTTGTTCACGGACAGATTGCTCTGTTCACGGTCTTATTTGACCGTGAACACGCAAACGCGTCCGTGAACCACGGTGCTTCGACGTGTGTCAAACCCATCGACTTAGCCCAGTTCACGGACGGATTGCAGTGTTCATGGTCTTAACGACCGTGAACTGGCAAATGCGTTCGTGAACCGCAGGGTCTGCCTATAAAAGGGCGGTGAACAGTTTTCCTTCACTTCACGACCCAAAACTCACCGAAATCCTCTAAATCTCGCCGGAAAATCATGAATTTCCAACAATTTTTGCCCATTGACCCATTTCCAGCGAGCCAAACCCAAAACCCCGCACAAACTCATTATCCCATCATCAAGGGCGGCCTTCGCGAGAATTTTGGGGAGTTTTGGAGAATTTTTTTCCGATGAAGTTGCCGGTGGCAAGGCTCCAACAAGCTTTCGGTGAAGCTCCGGCGACCCTCCTCTGGTCTGTTTATGGCCGATTTTTCGCCTACCTCGCCCTCTCCTCACTTCCCCTACCCTTCCTACTTGAGTCTCCATGTTTGCTTTCAACTCTACATTGATTATTTTGGGAGAATTGGAATAGGTAGTGAAGTGAAGAGAATTTTAGTGAATTAAATATGAATTTAGCATTAGGGAGAGGAATTAGGTGAATTAGGGTGATTGAATGGTTGAATGATGTTTGCATGAGTTTAGTTGATCCTTGGTGGGCATGTTTTGATTCAAATTGCTTTTATTTGTGGAATTTGCCCACCAAGTGCTAATTTTTGATGAATGTGAAACGTTTATGCTTGAGTGGTGGATGATAGCCACTGTGGCATGGTTCGGGTTTAATTTTTTGTGTGGATAATCCGTGAACACCTATAACCATGCCTTGGTGTACTTGTGCTTAATTGTTTTTATTAGCATCGGCTCGTAGTGGAAATATAAGAGTGTGTGTGTGGGGGGGGGGGGATTCCTTTTTCCTCCCAATGAGTTGAGATTGACAATTATTTCCATATATGGTGCATGTTTGTCGATTTTGCAGGATGCTTAACATGGAGCACGAGTACATCAGCTACTTGATGAACCACGCATGGTTCGGGACCAAGTTTGCCAATAAAAGGGACTAGGGTGGGAAGTTGGGTACCGGTATTTGGGACATACCGAATACCGTACCAAGTTTGTCTATAATTAGTATTACCGAATACATGTATAATTTCTTGGGATTGGGATTGGGATTCAATTTTAATTGTTATTTGGTATTAGGGATTATGGGATTGGGATCGGTATATACCAAACAATACCGAAATATAAGCTAGTGTTTATTTTATCCTCTCAACTAGACTCTCTCATTCACTAGTACACGACCCTCAACCACCAATCTACTGGATTTTCATAACACTAAAAAGCAAACACTAGTATTAGTCTTCAATCAACCTCCAGTTTGTCAAATGAAAGATTACCAATGACAAAAACTTGAGATGTCACCTCTCCTCCACTCTCCTTATCCATATCCTAGCTCTATCCAAACTCAAGACTATTTGCTTAGTCTCTTTGTCCTATATTAAGCCATCAAATATAATTTATATATTTAATTATTAATTGTAAAGATAACTAATTTCGTATTCAATAATACCGATGGGGATACCGAAGTACCGATTGGTATACCGAAATATTTAGGGATTGGGATTGGGATACCAAAATTATTTAGGGATTGGGATTTATTTTAGGGTGTAATTCGGTATTCAGAATTTTGGTATTTGGTATTGGGATACCGATACCGTACCGATTTCCACCCCTAAGAGGGACAGCCCGATTGGGCAACATTGGTGGTTGGACTTGGACATGTTTAACCTGTTCAGGTGCCAAGCCGTGATGTCAGGGGTCGCATGTCACCCCAAGTGGCGCCAGCTGCTTTCAGTGGATGAGCTCATCTACCATGAGCTCTGTGTGGAGTTCTACTACACCTTCGCTCACGTCGTATCGACAAGCAAGAAAAGTGTCCTACGTGGAGTTTATGTTGGGCGATCAGCGCGGGTGTTGACCTATGATGCTTTCCCCCAGGCCATGGAGATGGACACTACCTACATGACGATGACAGAGCGGTAGTATACCATCGATTTCCACTTTCAGGCTGCATTCTAGACCCTTTGCCTCCCCAAGCATGAGCAGGAGGAGTACGAGGCATGCCGCACCAATGCAGTTAAGTTGTGGACCCCGTGGAGGATCATGCATACTCTCTTGTCCCGGTCTTTCGTCCCCAGCTCGTAGTCGTGACCTCTGTTCACGATCAGAGGGTTGCTTGCCCTCCACTCTACGAGGCATCCAATAGAGCCGCTCCACCTGGGATCGCTAGTGGCCACCACTTTCACCTGGTATATGGGGCGGAACAAGGTGGACACCATGCACATGGGGGGAATAATCACGAGACTGGCCCAACACTTTCACGTGGATTTGGAGCGGTGCTCCATCGTTGACCGAACCGAGCGGGAGAGCGAGAGATAGAGTACTTGAGGGGCTCCGGCCCTCAGGAGTCATAAGCCAGCAATTGAACGGGCTCTAGTGGAGCCGGATGGAGAGGTCGCGCCTCCAGAGCAGCCACCTACTCGAGCTCTCGGCCGCCGCCGCCCGCGCTCCAGCGCCTTGCACCACCACCACCAGCAGTAGCATCAGCACCATCAGGTGCCGGTCCTTCCACTTCCAAGGTGCCCCTCATGGAGAGGATGGACCGTGTTGAGACCCACGTTGTGGGAGTCACTTCTCGGCTTGACCGGCAGACCGACCTGCTCAAGCGGATTGCTCGTCGCTAGGGCCTCCTTCTAGATGATGAGTCGGGGCCTTCAAATCAGTGAGAGGTAGCAGACAATTGAGACATGTAGCAGAGCCGATTCCTTTCGCCCCACTTCTCCACTTGGAACTCTGAACTCTGTTATTTTATTTTTCTTTCTTTTATTTAGTATGTGTGAACAACTACTACTATCGTATTGTTTTGTGTAATAACCTCGCCTCGAGCGAGTATGCATTGTGTTTGTGTGTGTGTGTGTGTTTTTGTCTTCTCCTTGAAGCTAAACTGGGGTAGTTTATTATTATGCTTGTGTGAGTGTGATTGATGCTTGGAGCCTTGATGTATACCCAAATTTGAAAATTTGAGGGTTCCAAGCAATGTTTGCATGATCAAGTGGCTGGTTTGTAGGTGAATTTCATGTTTATTGGCATTGACCTTGAATTGTTGCATGTGATCGAGTGTGTCCTATGATGATAACTAAGAGGTGCATTAGGATAGTGCAAAAGTTTAGTTCTCATGTGTGCAAAAATGAATGGATGTCTTGGCTTGTTTACTTGTTGATTACAATTGCCATGCATTGTGTTTTGTGAAATTGGAATGGATGATTGGGTGACTAGGTAGCCATGTGAGTTTTTAGCCGATCGTTTTCTTCTTGTGTGCTTAGATCCCTTTTACCATGACGAGTAACATCACAGTTGTCACTAGTGAGTATGATGGAGGCATAGGATTAGTCCACGCCCAAATGTTGATTGTGTCGTAATGTTTTATTCCCTAGTCAACCCCTTTGAGCCTTCTCACTTTGGGGGTCGTTCTCTTGTAGGAGGTTTTTTCTTGTGAGCTTAATGGTGTTTGATAGAATGAAACCCCATCCTTTCTTCGTGTCTATACG